TTAAAATATAGGTTAGGGTCGTATCTATAAGAATATGTACTCCTGGAATCGTGGCTAAAAATTAGAGACAAGTTTGAATAAATCGGCAATTCAATGTAGAGCCGGAAGTGTTCAGGACATGAACTTACTAAAGTCTGAATGGAAAAGTGTTGGGAATTTCCAGCGATAACCACATCACAATTGGTTTGATCTTTTGGATCAACTTTGGATTCACATATAAATACGACAACCCTCTATCGGAAACTCTTTAAATAAACTGGGTTATTCTATCGGAAGACATTTTGGTGGAGTTGTAGAATATACACTACGACCGAAGCAATCCTTTTTTTCCAGTTTTCTTTTCGTATTAGTGTAGATTAAGCTCACCAAAGCATGAATATCAAAAAATAAAAAATAAAAATAAAATAAAAATAAAATAAAAATAATGCAATTAAATATATTTGTTAAAAGGGGGTCCATTTTTCTATGCAAATTCATTGTAAATTGATTCCCCTACGGAAGCGAAGATCAAATATATTTATACTACTTGTCTTCTGAAAATGTAAAAAAAATAAATTAAAACTGAAATTCATTATCTGAAGATCTTTTACCATATATTGCTATCGATTAAGCTCTCGGAATTTCGAATATATTAAAATGTTAAGAGATAGCATAAAATAAATATATTTGTCTTGACATGTATAAGAGGGACATTTTACAATAAGTATACATATTAAGCAGGACCTACTATTATCTTTTATAAAATTTAATTAATTTCCCTCTAATATTCTTTATCTTGGGTGCTTATTAACATGAGAGAAAAAAAAGATGAAACTCGACCGACATTCTTAAATGGACCCCATCTGCAAAAATATACGCGGGTTTTATCAAAACCTGTCACTATATCGCAATCATTTGGTTGGGAAGCATGTGTTTGGTACACGTTTATAATATTGGGTGTTTATGATTATTATGCCAGGCTTTGTATATTTATAAGCGTGGCATTTTTTGTTGTTTTCGTTTTTTTTTTTTTTGGCATGCTGATCCATAACTTATTAACAATATTGTTTATACCGACCTTGCTAAAGATAGTTCTACATTTGTTGATTATGAAAATAGCAGTCTAGTCAATTGCTATCCGAGCCCTGAGAGAAGCACCTAAGAGTTGTGGAGAAAGACTGGTCGATCTGTAAATTAGAGAAAGATTTGGAATTCAGAGGGCGGCATTTTTTTTTTATAGCAGCTGGATTGATTGAAGGATATTTTTACGGCTTATCAACCTTTTTCAGGTTATTTAAAAACAGAAAAAAACATTTTTAGATTGTAAAGATATTTTTGAAATAATAATGATTTGCTGATACCAAGTTCCACTAATTAACACACAGCTTGAGGGAGAAGCGGTGGATTCATACATTTTTTTATGGTATTTCAACGAACACAAATGGAATTGGAAACCGTTTTTCCAATATCCGAGTCAATATCCATTAACCACACCACACACACACAGCGGACATCCATGCTTACAGCAACTGGTATTCTTAAGCGGCCACCTATTTAGACAATATCCAGGTTAGATGCTGATTAACTTCGGTGATCTTACGACTACCGGCATTTTAACATATGTCAGTAAGTCTTAAAACAGCTGGGATATCGGGAAGAATAATGTATCATTGGGAGCTTTCACTTCATACCTCATGTAAGCCACATGGTGTGAACCCTCAGTGAGTAAAAGAACGACGATAGAAAACAATGAATGAATAAATTGATAGCATGTTTTCCAATGACTTATTTGATAGGTGTTCGTGTATGGGTGTAATGCCAGGTTTATGGATGATAGATTTAAAACAGCTGAGTGGAACCTCTTCTATGGAAAGATTATTACAATACTACTATTATCCCTATCAAAACTTGCACAATACTAGAGAAAATTTCGCTAATATTATAAGCAGGATAATGGTGGAAACGTGAATTTGATTTGCTGAAAGAAGCAGTATACCCGGAAACCGGCAGAGAACAAGTGGAAAGTTTTATTTTTTTATCCTTTTCAAAAAAGAAAATAAAAAAAAGAAGCCCTAGTCGGTTTTTACAGAAACACTAAGTACAACAAGAAATTGAAAAGATTTAGAAACGTTCGTCGACAGTAGTCTGCACTAGAGGAACTTATATGTGACGCAAAAGATGACTGTCGTACATAAAGAGGATGATTGTTCTTAAGAGGTGAATGTTGAAGCGTACCTGTCAGGCAGTGCAAAAGAATAGATAAGGAAAAAATACAACGTCGGGGGGAAAAAAACATGTTTTCGTCGGATCTAACGTCAAACGACAGAGAAGAAAACAAGATTGGTTTATATAAGATTAGTTCACATACAGAGTGAGGGTGCATTTTGAGACAACAGAAGTCGTGTTGGTACAGGTATATCACGCTGCTGATTTGTTAAATTCATCCCCCACCCATATTTCTATCATATATGCATAGATAAACGCGCTAGGTACATACCGCTGACATGCCTAAAGATAGTCAATTTGAGTTCTTGTAAAATCAAACATCCAGGCATCCATGTAAGGTATAATACTATTTAAAACTTCTTCTACTGCTTTTCCTAATATTTAAAGATTTTGTTTGCTATTTAAAAAAAAAATGATGGCTTTGAAAACGGACATATTAAAAAAAAAAACAGTAAAGAAAAATAGAACTCGACATTTAATAAAGAAAAAATATTTGGAGTTAACCGATTCCGTTCTTCATTTATTGAAACGAAATAAAACACAAATAGACTGCGTTAGTAGCATACTAAAAACGGATATACATACGCAGATCATATTAAGTCCGAGCAGCCTCTCCTTTTTGTTGCACAGGAAAGGCAGCTAAGCGGTAACATTTTTTTCAAGTATTTTCAGATGAAAATCCCTGTGTGATATCATATATGGCAGGGAATGCTGAACATTCCCCTCAAACATAAAGAAAAGACTCGAAGCAACGAAAATGTGGTTCTACTGAAGGATGTTTCGGATACCCTGGAGGGGACATGTGAGCAAAGACCAAGTATAAGGGAAAATGGAAACAAAACATAAACATTACTTAACTGCAAGAAGAGACAGTTGATGTTTCTGGGCCACATCATAATTAAAAAGGGATTGGAAAGTCTGATAGAGGATAAATTGGAGGCAAGGGGAACAGAGAAAAATAAAGCGTGACATACTTAGTTTGAATAAATGGACGGCGGAACAGGGTTTAAATGGAAATGACAAAAAGATAAAATCTTTTAAGAGCTACAAGGTACAGGAAGTTGTTAAGAGCCATGACCTACACAAAGCAGAGAATATGTTCCCCTGGTTTGCCCTGCACATTGCCAATTTTCTTATCAGGTCTTCGGCAATAGCAAACCCAAATTCAACAGACATGCAAATTATCACTTAGTTGACCTCTCCTGATAAAGGCTGGAGCATGCTGAGGAAGTTCTCATCTCTGTAGAGTCAGGGTTGCACTGACATTTAAAATACTACATAACAGACCTTGTTTTGAAGATAGGCAATCCTTGCAAATAGATTTCAACATCAATCGAGACAAATATTTATTAGTGAACATATAAAATTGCGAAATACTGGTCGATATTTCCGTTTTTTTTACAATGATATTCTCCCTTTACAAGAGCCACACGAGTTAGAGGGTTACATAAGTGTTAAGGGATCCACCCCTTTTTTATACAAGTGGACTCGCCCAGTGTATACTTGTACTGCTGCCGGTGAATACCCGGGAATCAGAGAGTTATACAGACAAAGAGTGACAGTGATACAGTGATACAGTGACAGAGTATGAGTGTGAGTTAACCGCTTTGTAGGAGTCATAATTGCGAGCACGTAGACTCAGAAGGAAGTCCTACTTTGATACTGAATTTTCCAGACTGTATATATATTATTATTGCTACTAACTGCATTTCTGGATCTACTAACCGTATTACGAATTGTATTATTACGTCAATACATTTATTAGCTATATTTCATTCCTGCGTTTGTCATTCATTTTGAGACCGGATTTCATCCCGGAATCCACAAGAATAGACAAGTTGAATCCTAAACACGAAACAGGGGATAAACCTCTACACCTGTTCAAAAAGACCGTGGAGGTGTGTGAATCGGGCGTTAACAAAACATATCTGCTCCTATTGAGCAAAGAAAAAAGTAATTCAAAACTAAATAAAAGTTCAGAGTTTAGGCGGCGTCGTTAGAAGTATGGAGTTGAGTAGATTTTAGAAGGAACCGTGAACCAAAATAGGAAACAAGGGAAAAACTCTATTCTTGTACAATAGGCCGGAAGTGAAGTGTGTACCGGACGATAGGTGAACCAATCACTCCTCTTGAGGAAAAAAAAACATGTAAATAAATAAATAACCTAAAACTCCATCCTAAATAGGAAACAAAGGATAAACCTTTAATCCTATTCAATAGAAGCGAAAAGAGTATGGGCTGAGCGATGTGTATATCTATCTACTCCTGTTAAAAAATGATCGATTAGACCATAGGATACCATTAAGTAGGAGATGTTTATATTACGAATTAACTTAAGACAGTCTCCCTTCTTTCCATTATCATTACTCCCCATCAGAGAAGGAAATATGTTAGGGTGGTTTACTTAGGCAACTTAGGAAAGTTGATATATTTCCTACCAAAGTTAAATCGAGTGGGGACCTATGACTGTCCTCAGCATAAGAATTTTTTTTTAGGATGGTATCACACCAGTCTAGAGAGTATTGATTGATTTGTTTCTTTACGGGTTTTCAACCATTTACAGGTGTTTTTAAAGTCAGCACTTATTTTTAGATGGTAGGCATTTTTTAAAAAAAGATAATGATTTTCTAATACAAGTTCTAATATTTAACTCGTAGATGGGGGGGAGATGGATTTATGCTTTTCCCAGGGGTCACTGTGTGTAAACGAGTATAACGAACCTGATTGGATTTGAAACTCGGCTCTCCAATTTCTCATTCCAAATAGTTATCCATGAAACGACCCGCACATCCAAGATTACAACACCTGGTCTTCCCAAGCGATAACTCATCTAAGTACTGACTAGGCCCAACGTTGCTTACCTTCGGTGATCGTACTAGAACCGGTGTTACAAAGTTATTTTTTTACAGTAAGTTTCACTCAGTACAAATGCCAGGGGTCACTCGAGGTAGAGGGCTACGTTGTGGGTAGTTTATATGGATAGGAGGGAATGATACGGTTGACACTGGACTTGAACATGTTAAGGATGTAGTGATCCGGGAAACATCCTCTTGGGAGTCGCTTCCACAGCGCAGTGGTTCGCGAGAAGATGCTGCTAGAGTGAACCTTAGTTCTTACCAATTGAATACGGGAATGAGGGTGGTTTGTTACCATGTAAATAGCAGAATGGGTCCTAGCTGTAAAGATCAGACCAGGAGGTTTAGTTTGTTTGAGCACTTTATATATATATATATATATATATATATATATATATATATATATATATATATATATATATATATGATGGTTCATATTTAGTGTTTGTTCGTCTTGCATGTTCCAGATAATATACTTTCGGAAAAAAAGGGCTACATGTCATACGAGCAATAGGAATTAAGTGGATCTGTGGAAATTTCACGCGTGTTGAAAAGATTATCTATTTTCGAAATCCCGTCATCCTTTTCCCTGTATCATCCTGCGTTTTTCCTTAACCTTTCCAATCTACTTCCTTAGCGTTTCCAATCTTTGTTGCCCGTCTGTATTTTTATGTAAATGCCATACAGATATGGATCAGTTTTATATATGAACAAGGAACAAGGACTACCTAAATATTTTCTACTGCTTCTTCTCATTTATCTTTCTTTTGTGCCATCACTCACCAAAAGCTTCCCTTCACTTGTACTCCCTCCTTACTTCGTTGGTTTGCAACTATCTCAAATAATAACAATAATAATAAGGAAAAGTAGAATCTGGATACTTAAAGAGACTTTCCAATTGTTCTCCATCGAGAGCAATCAGCCACAACTTCTGAACGTGTGCAAATGGATGAGAGACTTTAATGAATTTACAAAATGTGTAAGATTCAGGAAAACATCAAAGGAATTGTGAAACGCTGATGTTTATTAGGGGAGAATTTTCCAAGAAGATGCTTTGAGAGAATCTCCATTAAATTAAGAAATGAATCAGAGTAAAGGCAATAAATTCTCCACCCTCTGCACCGTGTCGTGCACAAAAAGCAGCAGCCTACAAGACAGAGGAGAAAGGATAATAACATGTTTACTTTGTACTCATGTTAGAAGACGCTCGTTGGTTAAAATGAAAAAAAAAACCAAAAAAACATAACCATGCTTTCTACTGCTTCTTGCAAGATGTTTATGATACTGACAAAAGCCAACAGTCACCTCTTGCCCGAAGGCAGGCATCGAACTGTCGACGGACGTCAAAACAATCTAATATCTTCACGAAGATTTTCTTTGGGGAGATAATATCATTTTATTATTAACTATCAGCTAATTTAACTCTTTCTTTCGATGTCTTTGCTTCGTGTTTACGTCGGAATCCCAATATAAATAAGGTCTATTAACATGGGGTTTTACGTCCAACTGAAAGAGACTTGAAAGAGAAGACTTTTAGCTGTGTTTTCTCGTAATAAAAAGAAATTTAAAACCTAAGTTATTTATACGTTACAAATATTTGTCATTGCTGTTAATGTGTAAGAGTTCGTATTTATTGCAAGGAGTGCATTGCACACGAACCTGAATACCTCGGGTCAAAATCGCATGCATACACACACGCTCAAACACAGATATTATCATACAATTATAGCTCACGTGAAAATTTGAAGTTTTGTAACCATTACCAACACAAGCAATAGAATGACAAACATCACAGACACACCCGTAATTAGTTTCTTATGTACTGCTGCCATATCTAAGATAGAGTTGGCCAATCCTCACATTCTAGCCTTGATAGAGTTCAAAAGGGTTTACGCGTCTTTGTAGTTGATGAATTAGTTTCAACCCTAAACCCCTTTTTCCCACAGACGGAACGTTTCTGGCCTCTCGCCAATCTATCTAGTTATTTTCATGACCAATGTTCAAACGAATTATATTCTTTAGTTCAAATTTTTACATCTAGGACGCGTCTTGCCACGGGTAAAGGGTCGACTCATCCATATTTCCCCCGTATAACATTGGTTATTATGAAGTTGCACCCAGCAAGATCCTTGCCTATAACTTATTTTATGGAACAGTTCACTGCGAGGGGTAAGTTGACTTCTTCAAATCTAGTATCAACCGTCATCTATCCTACATATCCTCATAATAGGCTCTTAGTGTTTCCTTCCATTACGCCCATACAACAACTTCAGTCAATAACTCTGTGCCTTTTTTGTCTCTTGTACTCAACATAGAAACGTGAAAACTTGTGGAACAGACTGCGCTGTAGCTGAAATTGGTTTCTTCAAATTTCTTATCAACCATTATCTATATTCCACATCCTCATATTATGCACTTCTTACTAATCCACGATAAGCTCTTACAATAACCTCATTTAATAGCACTGAACCTTGAGTGGCTCTTGTATAAAAAGTGTAGACAACATGATTAGCTTACGATTAAATTTTTCTTGACTCACTATTGTAGTAGTTGTATTGGAGATGATTTTGTTATCCATATGCTTATTAAGCGTGACTCAAATCTCATGCTAGGGCGTTCTCCTCGTTCCCAGGTATGCATTAACTTCCTCGGGTACTTTGTGTGATAAAAGCTTGGACAATCATGTTTCTTTTTCAATTCATGATTGATTTTGACAACTAAGCCCAGTTCTAAGTCGGAGAATGGGTGGAAGAGGAAAATTGGCAACTGATTGTTCTGGAAGATGCTCGTTAGCCATTTCCTCTAGGGGAAGGATGATCTTGATTTTAAATCTCCTCTATCTTGCGGTCATATCCAAAACACGGAAAAGACTATGGATGTAAATTCAGACAAAAAATCCCGAGTGAAGCACCGAAGGCGGTTGGCTGTCAATACGGACAATTTTCCGGCAACACGCGCAGCCAAGCCGTGCAGCCAAGCCGAGCTCAAATGTAATGGTCTGTATTCATTTGGGTCTCGTCGGTACGATCGAGAGTGGGGAATGTAGTAGTCTAGGCAGCGCATAGCCACCCTATATCATCGTCACTTTAGGAGAAGGAAAACTCTGACATCAAACCACCTGTTGCCTTTTAGATCTCGTCTCTTTAAGTTGTGAGAGAAGGTAACATCAGCATCTCTGGTGCAAAAGAGACTGGTTAAAGATTGTATTATTCTGTCCTGAATGCTACCATGAACCACAATTGTGAGATGTATCGGGGTAGTCCTGACCACAGCGGCGCAAAATGCGCTAACTGAATACTGATTGAATAAATGAATGGATGGATGATTGACTTTGCAGAAGATTTTGCTACAATATGCTATCGTTACTTTCTGAGAGAGACTAGTTGCCAACTTAGACTATCAGGCCAAGTCTATCCTACTATTTAGCCCATGGCTGCGGGGAGAGAAAAGATAGGTTCATTCCTTTCCCAAATGTATTTGCACATAGGGGAATATAACGAAATCATCTAAAATTCAAACTCGACTTTCTGAGACGCCTGACATTACCAAATGGCCACTCCTCTAGGTACAGAGCAAGCACAATGTTGCTTAACGTTGGTGATCGAACGAGAGCTGGCGTCTCAATGTGATATAACCGTAAGCTTATCTGGCTTACCCCCCCTCCAAAGAAAAAAAAACTGAATTTCGGACCGTGGTGTAGGCAACGGGGAAACCCCGCTACCTTTCCCATGAATACATTCCAACACACATATAATCAAAAAATTGCCTATAGAGAGGCTTGCCAACGTCCTAACTGGACATTGCTTTAAAATTAAAGAATAAATGTATGAGGCAGTAAAATGAGAATTGAACTCACAATTCACTAGTAACTGATTTGCGAGACACGCTTGCTAATTATAAAATGACTTTACTAAAAATTGTATCATATTGGCACAAGACAACATGTACGGGGCACTCAGTGAGGATTGAAGTTATGATTGGTAAGTGTAACCGATTGGCACTTTGTTATTTTGCTAGTTAAGCTGAATTATCGAATAAGACTTCAAGTATATGGAATGATAATCCAACCCTACCATTTTGAACCTAAACTTAATATTTAAACTGATTTCTTCAAAAAAAGTCAGGATTCGGAAAGAAGGTTTCTGTGCCCTTATTTGCTTATCAAACTACAAATTGCAAATTGAATGCAAATTGAATGCAATGCCATGGTTTGAAAATCAACCTACACTATTACATCATATCTAGGCGTTTTCTTTATATTTATTAAAGTAAGTCTCTAATATATGCAGTTGCAGTTTGAGAATATGTCTATCAGTTCGTTAGCACTATGTAATAAGTTCAATACTAACTAGTAGTCTTGTTCCAGATTAATATCCACTAATTAAAAACTAATTAGCAGGACGGGCCTTGTTGTAAAACCACAGTCTTATATAAGATTTTGTGTAAGACGCGCGTTTCATGGTCGGTCTAGTGTCAGTTCAAGAGAACAATCTTGATGTTTTTCACTGAAATTACATTTCCCAAATTTGGAATCAGTTATAGACTCTGGCATGAGAACTGCTCCAGCAACTATTCGGGTTCCACCTCGTAGTTTTGTGTGTAGGCGTGTATGAACTCGTGTCCGTGTGTACACGAGTGTGTCTGTACAAATGTCCGTTTTATTTATATTTTTTTAGAGAAAGTTTTGAGTAACTTATAAACAAAAATCACTGTTATACATAAAATCAGAACGAGAACTTTGAAATCTGTTAAAAAATCACATACTAAGGAAAGAGAGCTTGGAGAATTTGACACTCAAAGGTTAGTAAAGTTTATCGATGCAGAAGGTAACAGTAACCTACCTTAAGAACTTTTGCAAATGGAGAGCAGAACAACAGACGTGAGAGTTTGTAAAAGGTAAATGTTGCACAGAACCACCAAAAAAAAAAAGAAGTAGTGGAGATAAATGTTCGTCTGCACTCTACAGACACGGAACATGAAAGAAGAATGACAAACGCTATTTGCATATATTCCTACTTACGAGTGTGGGCTGAAAAGT